AATAAGACTCGATATAGCGCCGCTCGATCACATATTCTGTGGTGGAACTCATCCGAGTTTCTCTTGGCCCAAAGGACTGTGCGGCTTGGGGAGAGTAGTCGTAGCTTGTGGAGGCACAGTTGGTATTACGTTTGCCTCCTATCGTAACTGTTCGGGTTTCAATTCTCCTTAGTGGAGGCGCACTGCTGATGAGTCCCAAATTTAGGACGAAACGGCCGTCCAGTGCTATCAGCATTCTGTTGAGGTTTCTTCTAGATATATATATATATATATAATGTAACAGCTGTCGGTCTCGGGAGATCATGAATATTTATCCTTCTGTTGCTGATGGCAGCACAGTGTCAGTTACGGCTGTACAGGCGCACATGGAAGTGACAGTGTCGTTTACAACGAATGCATGTGAAACAGCTCTCCCAGTTGTCGTCGTGTTGTTTTATTTCCGTCTAGCAAACGTCTGCCCGGTAGCAAACATCCGTTTCTCCTTTCCTCCCTACAGCCCTAGATGTAAATCTCGTCTCCAGCGTGAGCGAGAGTTGCTGACGTCTCCTCGCCTGTCTCCTGTTCTCTCTAAACTCTACAATGAATTTCCCTTTGGCAGAGATTCTTAAAGCGTATATGAGGTCGCCCTCTCACGCTCTTTGCCGGTGACCAGTTCCTTATACAGAATTCCGAATTCTCCCATCAGGAACACGGTAGAAATATACAAGTAAGCGGAGCCGGAGCTGTTGGAGAAAGACTTATAGGTTGGGTAACTGGGCACGGGTGAGAAATACGCCATTGGTGACCCGGTCTTGAATGCGTCTCAGACAGCGAAGATGAAAGGCGCTGAGGCGTCGCTTCTCTCTGGTGTAGATGCTCCAAGTCTCGCTGCCGTAGACCAGCACGCTGACGATTCTTCCTCTTCAGGGCGCAGACTGAACAGTTTTATGAGAGATCGGCGGTTGCCCATGCATCATCTCCAGTCTCCACGCAACTGATGTTGTCCAAGTGAAAGATAGAGTCCAATACAGACTCAATATATATATTATAATTATATATATGATTATATATATTTTATATATATTATATGATTATAAATATATATTATATGATTATAAAGTCATTCACAGACAGACTGTTTCGCTGTTTCACAGCTCTTCAGTGTGGCTAGACATCCGGTTGCCTCTATCTAGGATCAAAACCCGACTGAATTGGTGTCAGTCGGAGATTCTACCACTAAGCCGTCGGTGAATTTTAGCGTATTTATTTTTAGATAAACACACACAGTGACCGACAGTGACTCAATTCGCTTTTGCCGAAGAGTTTCGCTATATCAGCTATAATAGTCACTGTTTACAAATCCACACCTCTTCCCCAGAGAGCTCAACTGAAATTAATTTTTCAGGAGCCATTATAAAGTCATATATATTATATGATCATATATATTATAATTAGGCAGTAATTGTTGTTCCAAAGAAGTTTTATTAAAAAGGATAGACATGTTATGTATATTAAATTTATCAATCGATTGCTAAATTTAATATACATAACATATCTATCTTTTTCAACTCGCAATTCCATTTCCTCAAACATGGCAGCTGCAGATGGAAAACATATCCAAAATCGATTAAGGCAGTCTCCAATCGAGTCACAAGTGTTATTTAAGTCAATTTGAGCTGTTAACATCTTCTGGAGATAAAGCAAAATGCTTTGCTCGTAAATTCTCTTTAAATTCCTACTCTTGACTCATCTGGGGCACCTTTGTCCTGCCTTCACACTTAGAACTAAATCCATATTGAATGATATGCATATAACTTCGTCTATGGTTCTGCTATCATCTCTAAATTGGATCATCACAAATGATGTGGATGTAACTGTATCTTTGGATTAATCCTTAAGAAATGTGCTCGTGACCTTCCCCTGTTCTCTCTAAATTCTACAATACCTTCCTTGCTGATTCTTGCTTCCTTGCTTGTTGTAAATCCACATTTGTAGTTCCAGTCTTTAAGAACCCTGGCAAAATATCTGATCCCTTTAACTATTGCCCTATTAGCCTTTCTACCTCTTTTTGGAAAAGTACTAGAGGCTCTAATCAACTCTGAATTGGTTAGGCATCTTACTCCACTGGTAATTCTTTCACGTAAGCAATATGGCTTTCTCTTCTCTAGGTCAACTGCTGATGTACTGAGAGTTATTGCTGAAAGACCCTATCAGTCTGTAGAAAAGAATGGTAGCTCTCAAAAAGATATCTCAAAGGAATTTGACAGGGTTTCGCATGCTGATCCCCTTCTCAAATTAAAAGATATTTCTGAACTGATTCAATCTTTCGAAATGAAGGTTTTCTTGAACGGCCACTCATCTAGATACGTTTATCAAGCTTTATAGAAGAATGGTGAAGCTTGGGCTGTTGTACTTGATATCTTGAAGGTATTTAATATGATATGGCATACAGAACTTCCTCGAAAGTTGAAAGGTTATGGCATTTCCCTGTCAAATTTTTGAACTGATTCAGTCTTTTTTATCAAATTGCAAAATGAAATCCATCCTGAATGGCCACTCTTCTATATCTTTTTGTATGAGTACGGCTTTGTTTCTCTAGGTCAACTAGTCTATCAAGCTTTATATAAGAATAGTGAAGCTTAGACTGTTGTGTTGAATATCTCGAAAGCCTTTGATAGGGTGTGGTATGTTGGTATTCTTCAAAAGTTATGGTATTTCTGGTCAAATTTTTGAATTCATTCAGTCTTTCTTATCAAATCGCGAAATGAAAGTTATCTGGAATGGCCACTCTTCTAGATCTTTTGCATTAATTTAGGTGTTCCCCAGGGCTCAATCCTTGAACCTACGTTGTTTCTGATTTTCATAAATGGCCTTCCTGATGTCATCCGTTCTCAACTCAGTATCTATACTGATGACATAACTATTTACTCTTGTCTTTATACTAAGTCTGAGCGGTTTGATAATTGTCAAATTGGCAGTTGGTAACCTAAAATCCGTTCGGCAAGGAATGTTTTTTCTTACTTTAACGACTCCAAGACAAAACAACTCTCTTTTAATCATCTGAGAGAACCCTTCCCACCATTCATCAGTATGGCTGATTCTAACCTCCAGGAGATTTGACAATGTTTGACATACTGGTGTTCTTCACAAGTTGAAAGGCTATGCTATTTCTGGTCGAATTTTTGAACTCGTTTTTTATCAAATCGCAAAATGAAAGATCTTTTTGCTTTAATGATGGTGTTTCCCAGGGCTCCATATGTTATTCCTAATTTTTGCGGTCGACCTTTGGGATATCATCAGCTCTCAACTCAAATTTCTTTATAGACAAGCAATATGGCTTTTATTTTATAAGAAATGTAGGTGTTTCCCTGGGCTCTATCCTTGGACCTGCATTGTTTTTAATTTTCATAAATGACCTTGCTCATCTTCAGTTCTCAACTATTTACTCTTGTCTAAATAGCAAGTCTGATCGGTTCGATAAGGTCAAATTATCAGATGATCTCAAATATGATCTATAATCTCTTGTTAACTAGTGCAAGGAGGAGCTTGTTAATTTTAATGCCTCAAAAACGAAACTGCTCTCTTTTAATTATCTCAGAGAACCCTTTCTTTACTCTCAGCATGGCTGATGCTAGCCTCCATGTGAATGACTCATTTTGTCTTCTCGGACTACTTTTTTGCAGCTGACATGAAGTAGAAAAAATATATTTAATCAATATGGCCTTGTTTCTCTAGGTCAACTAATGATGTGTTAATGATTTTTGCTGAAAGAGTCTATCAAGCTTTATATAAGCATAGTGAAGCTTAGGCTGTTGTGTTGCATATCTCGAAAGCATTTGATAGGGTGTGGCAAAAGTTTTGGTATTTCTGGACAGGTTTTTGAAATGATTCAGTCTTTCTTATCAAATTGCAAAATGAAAGTCATCCTGAATGGCCACTCCTCTAGATCATTTTGCATTAATATAGGTGTTCCCCAGCGCTCTATCCTTGCGCCTAGATAGTTTATGATTTTTATAGGCGAACTTTCTGATGTTATCATTCCTCAACTCGGTATCTCTGTTGATAACACAATCATTTATTCCTGTTTTAATGATAGATTTGATCGGTGCGAGAAGAGCAAAATGGCAGCTGATGCCAAAAAATGACAGACATCGTGTTTTTAACTGGAGCAAGGAACGGTTTATGAATTTTAATGCCTCCAAAATGAAACAACTCTCTTTTAATCATCTCAGAGAACACATTTTTACAGCCAGCATGGCTGAAGCTAACCTCCAGGAGAGTGACTCATTGCGTCTACTGTTTTCAACTGACATGAAGTAGAAAGAATATATTTAATCAATATGGCCTTGTTTCTCTAGGTCAACTAATGATGTGTTAATGATTTTTGTTGAAAGAGTCTATCAAGCTTTATATAAAAATGGTGAAGCTTAGGCTATTGTGTTGAATATCTCGAAAGCCTTTGATAGGGTGTGGTATGTTGGTCTTCTTCAAAAATTATGGTATTTCTGGACGAATTTTTTAAATGATTTATTATCAAATTGCAAAATGAAAGTCATCCTGAATGGCCTCTCTTCTAGATCTTTTTGTATTAATATAGGTGTTCCCCAGGGCTCTATCCTTGCGAGAGAATTCTTTCTGTAATTGTTCTGATGAGATGACTTCTTTGGTTCCCAGACATTATGAATTTAAGCGCAGTACCAGATTGGCGGCAAGGTCTCATTCTTTTAAAGTTGAAATGGCTAGATGCAACCGTAAGTCCTTTTCTAATAGTTTCTTCGATCGTTCTTCTCGCCTGTGTAAACCTCTTCCAAATTCTTGCTTCTTGCGTCAACTACAATCTTAATTTTATTTTAATGCACCGTCAATCGCCATCTTCTGTTTCTTTAAATCCTGTTCTTATTGTCTTTTCTCTTTAGTAAAATTTTCTCAGTTTCTTTCATCTTAAGAAATCCCATGCGTCTTAGTGGATTTATTGCCTTTCTTGGTGGGTGCAAGCGATAGATAGATAGATACAAACAGAC